GAATTCAGAGGTGTGATGAACAGAAGCTGTGCCTGGAGAGGACACAGGGGGGCAGTGTGGCACTGAACACAGCTCGCTCTGCAACGCCTGGAGTAATGCATGGGAGTCTAAAGACAGACTACATCGTAAGCCTTACTATAGTCCCCTCTGCTCCCTCTGCGTTCAGAAGCAGAATCAAGTTTATTGCCAAGTAGGTTTACACATAGGAGGGATTTTCTTTGGTGTGTTTGGTGCATACATAAACACAGTTAAAGAAGAAAAATTGTAAGACAAACATTTTGAAATATGGAGAAATATCTACATGAAATATACCCGAAAAAACTACGTAGAGTATAACATGACAATATCAATGTTACAATAAGATAAAATATGTGCATTATTGGTATTAAAAGGGGAAAGTCCTACAGTGAAGGGACAACACAAACATAGTCAATATTACAACATAATAAGGTCTACGGATTATGCTTTGCAGTTATAAACACATGTTTAACGCTGAACACATATTTGGTTGTGTTCAATAGCTTATGATCTGTCTCAAAATAGGTATGTTTGGTTAACTACATTGTCGAAATAACCAATGCAGGTTCATTGACTGCAGATGTAAATTCGTTTTTAGCTATACAGTAACCTTGCTTGTAGCATCTTTTCTCTCTGTCATTGTCCTAAGACATATAAGCTGTACACTTTACGAATATAATGTTTTTTTATGGACAACTTTACCATTCAATCTCGTCCAACTGATCTTCCTGCTTTCACAATTAGCACTGCATATAAAGAGTTCATGTTGCTGGTTGCTATCCATGTTTGTTTTTGCGGGCTGATTCACCAGCAGATCTCCAGGGGCCCGGCTTCAGTGTAATGTCTGCTTCATTTTGTCAGTTGTAAGGTTATGTTCCTTTCTGACTGTCAAAAACTAGTACTCTCTGAGACAAGCACAATCTTTCTCTTTACAAGAACCTCTCAAAAACGTTTTAAGAGCTTTCTCATCAACATGAGCCCCTCAAGGACACGTACACAGTGAGCGTAACATCTCATTTCAGTGTGAAGAAAACTACTTTCTGTTGTGGTTCTTTAGGTGATTCCCCTTCACAGACTCACTACGCCATGTGAAAAATATTAAGTGTAAGCCTTGTGGTGATTTTAATTTTGGTGGACTTCCTAAAGTTTCTGTTCCGCTGACCATGCTTAAGGTAGGATGCCTGAAGACAGTGATTGAGAACAGCAGTAAATACTAACTCTTTATATTGGGTGTCAATGAGATGCACTGTGGCAACTTGAAATCATTAATAATGTCTCCATGGGAATCAACATCCCAGACCTTTAAAGGGCATTATATAGTGGAACGTTTTCTCCTTCCTTCCTTTTCTATTTTATTTCTTTTGGTTGGCGACATTTCCAACAGTCATAGTGATCTAACAGGGAATTCGGCCACTTACATGAGCTCCAGAGACTGCAGTTTTTTTTTGGCTAAACTGTGCAGTAGAGACTTTTAAAAGTGTCCTATTCAACCACAAGAAAGACACAACTTTTCCATATTTGCAGCGTGTTTTATGTTTTTTTCCCAATTGTTTACAATGAGAGAAAAAGTGATGCACCATCTTCTTTGTATGAGCACTTCGCCATTTTCTTTGCAGTCGCTTCGAGCACGTGGAGATGAAAATATTTAAACTTTTCACAAAAGCGCCGGTGACATCACTGTAAAATTGGCGGAGCAGTTTGTCTTTGGCAGTATCTTTCCGACAGAAACTACTATCATAACAAAGACTGTAAAGCTATCAGACATTCATACAATGTGCAATTATGGAAAGCATCTTTTGGTTGGTGTTCATAGTAAAAGAACATAAGTCAAACAAATATGAAGTAGCAGATTATACAACCCAATTGGGGGAAGCTAGTCTGTCATACAACAGTAGTGCACGTAAGCAGTGTCCAAAGTGCCCAATTCTGGGCTGTGGCTCTGAAGGAAGATTGTCGGAAGTTTGATCCACAGCCCAGCACCCCAGCTACTTAACCCCAGATTACTCCCCAAGGCATGGCAGTGGTAGAGTGTGTGAATATGTGAGAATGCTGGTGCACCTTGTATGGCAGCCTCTGCCTCTGTGTGAGAGAGTGTGAATGCTGACTTGTATCTGAAAAAGTGGTTTGCGGGGTCGTAAAGACCAAAAAGGGCAAAATAAAAGCATTTCTATTACCATTCCTACCACCAGAAAGAGGGCTTAGCCGAGGTTGCAGCATGCTCGGGCCTCTGTGTCATCATCATGTCAGAAAGGTGGGCTCTGTTTACACATTGCTTTGCAAAAGTAACCAACTACAGTACTGTGGCGTGGAAGGGATGTTAAATGACGCTGTGTTGATACCAACAGTACTCCTGCTGACAGCCTGTTGCAGTGTGTGTGTGTGTGTGTGTGTGTGTGTGTGTGTGTGTGTGTGTGTGTGTGTGTGTGTGTGTGTGTGTGTGTGTGTGTGTGTGTGTGTGTGTGTGTGTGTGTGTTACAGTGCCATGCTGTGTGTGTTCTGACAGCTGCTGGGCTATTGCTTCTCTCCTGACTGTCAAAGACTGCATAATTCAACGCTCATAGAAAATGTCCTAAATATTGGCTAAATTTGTCATCATTAAATCAGCTTCTGTTTTTATCCCAGCAGAGACTGAAATACTCTCATGATGCAGACTGACACATTCCCTGTGAACTCCATGCTGTTGCACAGGGGAGAACGGGGTTACAGGTGGGACGTTACAATTTGTACTCTTTTATTATTTTTCTTTTACCATACTGCTTTAAGTTATACCGCATACAACATGGCAGTAAAAAGTTGATGCTATGTGTTAGCCACCAACACTTTGTTGGTTGTTATCATTAAACTTTGCGTAGTTATTGTTAATTTTGTCAAAGGAATTGAGAGGAATTGAGATACATTTGAGGTTGCATGAATGTCTCAGTGTGTTTTGATCTTTAGAAAAACGTCCTGATAGTGTTTTTCTTGATGTTAATTTGACATTTAACCTGTTTTTTTGGAAGCAGGATTGTCCGCCCCATCAAGCTGGAAGAATGTATATCATTGTATTTCTAAGTGTGAGTGAGACTTTTGACATTTAAAAGTAAATGAATGAGAAATGATTCCTATTTAGTTTAACCCAACTCAATATGATACATAGATGAAGGTAAAAAGGACATTATACAATCTCCTGCCCGGACAGAGTTTTTGCAGTACCTGCAGACAGAAGCACCTCGAATGCTGTAAGCTCACCGGCTGCTGGAGGATCAGACCTTCAGATCCAGATTTTACACACAGCCTGAAGTGTCCACAGCTTCATTCAGGATGGAAGTCTGTGGACTGACACCAGGATCTAGCTGATACTGAACTTGTGTGTCTGCAAACTCTACTTGGTACTTGTGTAATAATGAAATTACTTGATAAGCAGAGCCTTATTGCTCTTGGACTTTTATTTATTGGACATTTTAAATATAAAGAAGAGGAGCAGAATCACAGAGTTTGAATGCATTCATATGTTTGGGGTTTGAAGAAACAAAAACTATTAATAAAAAGATTAATCAGACTATGACATTGATAAGTCGAATGACGTTAAACTGCCTGATATGTAAATAATACACTTTTGAGACTATGAGGCTAATGTTTCTAGGAATTGTAGACAAACCTTGATAGTTACTTGCATTCCAAATATATTTTAATATTATTAGAAAGTTGATATGGTTGTCTTTTCAATGTCTCTTGGAGTGAGATTTTTTTTTTGGTGAACCGAAAAAAGAAACGTTTATGTGTACAGTGTTACAAATGTATTGAACATGTACAAACTAGGGTTTCCCATTAATGTACCGGGCGCTACAGTGGAATACGCACATACACAGTGTACCCGCGACTCTTACAATGAAGGCTCGATAATCAGCTCACAGCATATAAAATGGCATATAGGTGTAAGCAGAGGCAAAGTGCTATTTTATAAGCGGGGGAGGGGGGGTCCCTCACCTCCTCTAGGGGGGTCAGGAGGCATGCTCCCCCGGGAAGATTTTTTTTTAAATATTGAAGTTAAATCATGCATCAACCTGGTGCACTTGGAGAGCAAAATGAATTTATGGTAAACAGATTTTCTTTTTCTTTATGGATATTTTACAAATCACTCACCTTTTAAACTCTATTCTTGTTTTACTGTCATATAGTATTTTATAACTGTTTTTCATGTATTCTCATAAATGGTGACCAAAACGTTTGAGACCCACTGAGATAACTAGACTAAAGTTAACTATCTAAACAGAGAGTCCCTTACCTCACTGAGCTGTATTTATCTCTCAGTCTGACCCGGACAGAGCTCTCCCTTTCCTTGTTTTAGAAACAGCTTTTAATATCCGTTAAGCTAAACAGATGCTAACAACAACAATGCAAATAGTGANCATTGTAATTACAATAGGCCTTCCTGTATTTATGGGAACAGGTGGGCCCAGGAAAAAATTTTAAGACTGAAAAGTGGCCCTGAGTGGAAAGGTTGGGAACCCTGGGAATTTTTGTTTATTTGTATTTTTTCTATCTATATTTTTATTGTGATTTCGTTTGAACATCCTATCTAATGTATTGGTATTTTTTTTTTTTTTTTCTTCTATGAATTTTTTCTAATTTTTAGTATTGATATTTTTGTGTATATTTTGTATGTTTTCTTAAGTCTGTAGGTTCCATAATTATTTCTATTTAGCTGTATGCCATAATCAGCAATATTAAAATAATAAAAGGCTTGCAATATTTCAGTTGATTTGTAATGAATCCAGAATGTATGACATTTTTGTTTTTTTAATTGCATTACAGAAAATAAAGAACTTTATCACAATATTCTAATTTTCTGAGACAGTCCTGTATATTGTTTGTTTTTGTCATTCTTAGATCTATTCTTCTATTTCATTGATTTTATTTTTATAATTCATAATTTCTATTTGCTGTATGCATTTGTTTCATTGTATTGCTTCTCACAGTTGAATATTGATAATAAATCACATATATTCTGTTACAGAGATGACGGAGAAAAGGTGGATGAGGCAGACATCAAAGTGGTGGTAAGCAGGCTGTTCAAATCTTACATCATAGTATATATTGTTTGTGAAGTTGGCGTTAAGCTATTTTTTCATTTTACAGGAGAGGAAACTATTTGTGGTGCCCTCGAAATCGAGGAGAAAAAATAAAAGTTCTGCGGCAGAAGATGTCAGGCAGGAAAAAGCAAATGAAAGCTTTGCAACTGACATGAGAGCAGAGCATTCTTTGGCGTCAGTGATCTGTAAGATGGAGGACAAGTGTAAGGAGAAGAAGATAAAGAAAAGGGTTGAGGACATTGAGCAGTTAGGAACAGTTACCGAACCTCCAAATGCTGATGCTGAGACACGGAAGAAGAGAAAAGAAAAAAGGAAAAAACAAGAAGGGATTGCAACTACAAAGGAATGTGAAGAAGAGGAGGCTTCAAATCGCACTTTAGATTTGCCGCCAATGTCACCAGAAAACTTAGAGGGATTGGAAAACTGTTCAGAAAATGCTGCAGAATCTCAGGAAACATTAGAATCCAGTTGCGTCAAAAAGAAGAAGTACAAAAAGAAGCAAGCGTCATGTTCTAAAGAAGCTACTCAAGGGTTAGATATCTCTTGCGGAAATGAAAAGGTTGATAATACCCAAAAAACAAAGGAGGGCCTTGAAGACCAAAATGCTAATCTGACAAAAAAGATTAAGAAGAAAAAGAAAAGGAAGGAAATATTAAGCAGCAATTTATCTGAAGACAACTCGCCGCAAAGCGATGATTTAGTGTCTGTGCAGGAAAAGGAAGAGAAAAGGACCTCATCCTTCCGTGTTGCTGATGCAGAAGATAATGATGCTCAGACACCCGTGGAACTAAATGACAACGGGGTCAGGAAAAAGAGAAAGCTGTCAGCAGCGCAGGACAGTGTTGAAATAAATCCTGAGCAGGGCTTTGAGGAACCACACACGGGGGTGAAAAGGAAGAAGAAAGAAACGGGAAATGAAACCGAGTCGGTAACCCCCGCGCAAACTTTGAAAAGTGCAGGTGATGTGGAATTTTCTCCAACTGATGAGACTGTGGTGTTGAAAAAGAAAAAGAAGAAAAAGTCTAAAGTTGAGCCATGCAATGTGATACAAGAGGATCCATCTGCCTCTAAAGATGTTGAATCAGTAAAGTCTTCACTCAAAGACTGTAGCTCAGTTTCACACAAGAGAAAAGACAAACGTGCTCCCAGTGCTGAGACTTTAAACTCTGAAAGCAACATCTCAGTTTCTGACAGTATCGTTGAAAGCAAAAAAGTCAGACGAAAACTTCTTAATCCAATTGAGGATTTCTATGACCTCTCAGCTTAGGTGAATGGTAGACAAAGTGATGGGTTTGATTGATTTGAGTTTTAAAATAATTCTGGATACCCTAACACACAAAATGACTGATACATTACATGTCATTTTTCTTTTCTTTTTTTTTATAGATACAAATGCATCTGACACTTTCTCTATCACTACATGGACAATGTTTTCAGTGAAGCTGTGACAATTTATGTTTTTTTGGTATTTTGTTTTGTATCAAAGCTTTTGACTTGCACAGTACTTTACCTTTTTGGTGTTACAATACATTTGTAAAGGATTAACAAACCAGTCATTTTGCTTTTTTATTTCTACCGGTTATCAACATAACAGTAATTGAAACTTCATTAAATGATATTAATCAATTTGATGTCATCATTCTTCAATGTAAAACCATACCCTTACTTTAATCTTTATTTATTAATTAAACCTATACATTTGACCACCTAGTCATCCTAATAATACTCAGGTTTGTACATACGAGGAATTTGTTCTGGTGATTTGGTACTTAACGATGGACACAGTGTGTAAGTGAGACACAATTATTCAAATTAACTTTGACTGCAAATGATATGATAGTCTGTGAATGACTGTCAGGGTTTGTAATAGCTGTTACAAAGTGCACCATATCAGAACCATCATGAAGTGAATAGGTAACATAGAGCCATTGCTATAGGTGAAACATTTACAACAATGTTGTAAATAAGAATAGGAAGCAAATATGTAAGCCTTATTGTACTTGTAAACTGTATCTTAAACTTGGGGAATTTATTTATTTTAAAGGGCGTGACAAGAAGTAATTAATCCAGAAAGGTCCAACACTATGATAACTAAAATATATAAACAATGTTTGAATACTCTTTATTTTGGAATAACGCCAGCAGACACAAAAATGTATTTATTAATATTTGCTTTCTATATTGTTGTGATCAGTATTACATGGTAACTAGATTACAACTATATAGCAAACATGCCATAAAATGCCAATTTTCAACCTTATTTTAGTTCTTATGGTGTTTCTGTTATTGTTAAAACATGCTGGGGTTTTTTCTCCAAGACAAGCACATACATCTTTTTTTTGTATAATGAGCCCCTCCTTCTAGAGTAAAGTCAGACCAAATCAATGCATCGGTAAAAGCAGAGGTGGAAAAAGTACTCAGATCTTGTACGTGAGTAAAAGTAGAAGTCCTACTTAGTTACTTTACACCACTTGGTAAAAGGTACTACTATTGTAATGCTGCCTGGCTTTACTTTATACTGATTGTTACACATTGAGCTTACTGGCTTTGCAAAACAGAAGGAGGGGCTCATTATCATAAGAAAAAAACGTAATAAAAAGCAACTTATGGATTGTTTTCTTTGGCTGAACCTATTTTTTAACAACAAAAGCTGCATTTTAAAGTCCCTAAAAAAAGCTTTGGGGTTTTGGCCTATTGTGGCACTGTTGGCTTTCCATACAACCAGCTAGCTGACACGTTACGTAAGCGCGCAGCCACAGAAGGCATTTAAACAGTGAGGCTGCGAAGATCCAGCTGGAAACTTTTCCTCTCCTGCTGACGCTCCAGAGACCTGTGTGTCTTCAACTTCAACACTCGGCACACATTCACCTCCCAGACATGTCCTCTTTTAACACCATTGTGAGCTTGGAAGAGGCAAGGAGAGTGGCTATTTTCGGAGGAACGCACGGGAACGAGATGTCAGGCGTGACGCTGGTGAACCTGTGGGTGAAAAACGGCGCCGAGATCCAGAGGAAAGGGGTCGAAACTAAACCGTTCATCACCAACCCGAAGGCTGTGGAGAAGTGCGCCAGATATGTGGACACGGACCTGAACCGAGCCTTCACCCCGGAAAACCTCAGGTAAAAACGGCCTCACGCCTCAGAGCTGCCAGTGTGGCTGGATCTGGATGTTGTTGTTGTGTCTGCTGTCATACATGTTGAATGGAAACATTACACCTATCCATATACAACGCACATATGACCACGAATGTGATTTGACTGATTATATATATTTGGTTAAAAGAAACATGACCTATACTGTACATTGTCGGAATGGTCTTGTGGAAATGTTCTCGTTGGGGCCGTTTTTTTGGGACTGAAATGACTAAAACAAGGATCGATCATTGGAGATTTCTATGTGTTGTGAAATGTAATGACATGCATTATTGACACCTGTCAGACAAATGCGGGATATGTTAAGACATCCTGCTTAGAAAACATGTAGTTATAACAATAGAATGAAAAACAACGTCTGGATTGAAATGTAGAATAACAGGTTATAGGATGTTTTTTAAAACACGATTTACACTGTCACGCAACGCAATCCAACTGTTATCTCAGGTAGCGTGAATGTGTGTTTACCACTAGTCATGTTTCCCCCCTCCCCCTCCCCCCACAACAGCAGAGCAGCGTGTCCCGGATTTGATCTGACTCTGAGCCAGCAGGGAAAACGTGAGCGAAACGTGACCGAGATGTGCTTATTTTTTTTCTTCATTCGTGCCTCTTCGTTTGCAATATAGCGGAAGCTTTACGCAAATGCTGGCTCACAGAGACCGCGTGCATGAACGCACAAAGCAGTTGTTGGATCTGTTCATAAATCACCATAGGAGTCCTATAATAACATTCCCATGGTTATCATACTGTGTTCTGGGGCAAGTTGTAAAGTAGTGTTATCACGTGATGTATCTATATGGGCTCGAACATGGCCTTTTAACCTTTTGGCTAGGCAATATGTTGATATCAGCCTTCTGTATATCGATATTTCTAAGAGACTAAATTATGTGTTACATTTTGTATGTTGTCATACTTTGTTCCTGCTTCTAAAGGTTGCATTGAAGCAGTTCTATCATTTCCTTTAACCATTTAGCCAATATGTAACCAATTCTGATAATTATTTAGCAAAAATCTTAATGAGTAAATATTTGTTAAAAGCCCTGACTGTCAACCCTACAATTTAGTTGCAATATCGATATTGGGGTATATGGATAAATATATAATATTAGATTTTTTTCCTCCATATCACCCAGCCCTAATTTGACAGTTACAATTCAAGTTCTGTTGTTGTTTATTTTTTAGGTATTTTACTTAATTTAATGATGCACATATCGTTCTGTATGCGGTTATTACCTCATCTGCCATTTTTAAAATGACCGTTTAAAAGTATTTTCTATACTTTCAGTTTGGCATGTCTGGAGGTAATCTATAAAAAGATTATCCACTTTTCTAAAAAAAAAAAAGCCCATGGTGTTGTTTTCATCCGTCTTTTCCTTTGACTGTGTTAACTGTCCTCTCAGTTGTCGGCTGTGTGTTGGAGACCACTTGTATCCGCTGTGGCTCACTGTGGTTGTGTACCAAAGTCCCTTCAATCCAGACAATACCGGATATTTACTGAAAGTGGGGTGTAAAGAGCAGATGTGAGGGGGGCGAGACAATATGCACAGCAGAGGTGCTATTCTACAGTAGTTAGGAGAATGTCCTAGACCAGTTGTTATTCTAAAATGCTTTTAAATGGCTAAGAGAAAAAAGGGAACTCTCATTCTGTGCTCAGTGTTGAATGTCTGTCTGAGCACAGACAAGGAAGGTATGCCTGAGGGGAAAAAACCCAAGATATGCGGAGGGAAAAAACCCATGTACAGACTTGACACGGATTGTATGATTGGAGCAGACATACAAGGCTTGTCGAAAGTGGCTGGCATTTATTCTTAACATTCACAAAAGGGGGCCACTGTCCTGCTGAATCCAGTGTTTGTATTCCAACCTATAACATAAGGCTACCATGAGGTGGAATCATAGTTATAATCAAGACAAAATATGCAGGTATTAATGTTTTTTAGTTTTCCACATTTGAAGGACTGTACTGAATACATACACCAACTCTTTTTTTTCTGACTTTGCTCTCGCAGTTACTGTGATAACTTGTCAATCATAAAGATTATGCCCAGGTTAGGTGAAAGTGTTACAGAGCATGTAGGACAAGTAGACAATTATTAACATAGTTCTTATTCATCATTCCATCAGCAGAATTTTATGATAAGCTGTGAATGTGTTACCAACTTTCTCATCGCTGTATGCTTAAAGTTACGTACTTTTATTTATAGGACATTTTCAGCATGTCGGACATATATTGGGGTCCCAAACCATGTAATGCTTTATACTGTAAGTTAGCAATAACATTTAAAAATCAATTCTGTAAGCTACTGGTAGCCAGTGCAGACATTTAAGAACTGGGGTGATGTGTTCTACTCTTTTTGATTTGGTCAGGACTCTGGCAGCAGCGTTCTGGATTAGTTGCAGTCTTTCAAGGGATTTTTTACAGAGACCTGTAAATAAACTGTTACAGTAATGTGTTTGTTTTTGTGTGTCTGTGCGCCGCAGTGCCCCTCAAGGAGACAACCAGCCCTACGAGGTGCAGAGAGCCCAGGAGATCAACGGGATATTTGGACCCAAAGGAAGCCCAGATGCCTACGATGTTATCTTCGACCTCCACAACACGACGTCCAACATGGGCTGCACCCTGATCCTGGAGAGCTCCAAAGACCACTTCAATCTGCAGATGATGAACTACATCAAGGTGACGGCCTCCAAGAGCTAATGTTGAATTATACGGCACACCTTTTAAGGAGCATTCATCTGTAACATTAGCTGTTTTTCAAGAGTTCCTTTTATTATAACATTTAACACCAGACTAGGCCAGTGACAATAACTGCTTTTAATGGAAGATATATAGTCCAAGAAACATTTGAAATAAAAATGAGATGATAGATAGATAGATACATAGGTACTTTATTTATCCCAAATTGGGAAGTTATTTTGTCACAGCAGCAGTGTTGTCAAGCATTACACAAGTTAAAAATAAGGGACGAATGTAATGGAAATTCAAATTAGCAGCAAGTATATACAAATTTACAATGAAAAGGAAATATATCCCTAGAGTATCTAAATAATACACAATATAAAGAAAATATTGAGTATTCTACAATATACATTCTCACTAAGCTACAGAAATGTATAGAAATATACTACAGACGCAACAATATAATTACAATTTTAAGACACTTAAAGGTGGGGTATGTAATTTATTTCAGAAACACTTTTTGTTATATTCCATGGAATGCTCTTAACATCCCGATAGCAATGAAAATATGAAATGCTTTGACAATAAATATATACAAATATTTCATCTGTGGAAGCCGTAGCGCTGTAAAAAGCACGACCAATCATTTTAGCCGGCCCGGCTAAAGTAACTGGATGGCCTACCTGCCTGTCAGCCTTCCATCTGTGCACAAACTTATCCCGTGCCCTCATTGGTCATGTGCGCATTCGTGTGTGTTGGAGGAGGGGCTCTGTAAGGAAGGGGCAGAT